TTATCAATTGTTCGATCCAAATTCTTCAGTATCCAATGCCAATGTTTTTTTAGCTCTGCATTGTTCTTGTAAGTACATGTTGTCCTTTATCAGTGTACTTATAATGACAGGTAGTTGTTCATGTACCATCACTCTGTAGCTTATTTTCCTTTGCCCTCCATTTTCTACACATCAGATCTATATTTACTCTTACCATAAGGTTGGTACTCAAGAAGTTTAGCTGTGCATTGCTCTTGGCTATACCTTTTGCCTGTATCGCTGCACTTACATTTATAGCTACTTGGTTATGTAGCATCACTCTTCATCTTATCCTAAATATTCTCCATTTTTTTGTATATTATCACATCTATATTTACTCTTAACAAAATGTAGAATAAAGGCAATGCTTATGAAGAAGATTCTGTGGTAAACTTCTTGAATTGCCCCCCCCATCAGCATGGACAAGGCCTTTATAGAGCCAGTCTTCACCAATAATGTAATTTTGTCCATCTCAAGCCTTCAAACTTTGTTGTATATATTTGGTTAGGCATGACTGCAACAACTGTTTATTTTTGGTGTTTGCATCAAATTGCATGTTTAAAGTTTATTATGTACTCCCTCCGTTCCAAAATAGATGACCCAATTTTGTACTGAAGTTAGTATAAAGTTGGGTCATCTATTTTAGAACGGAGGGAGTACTTCATAAAAAAAGTTTGTCCTTTCTCAATTTAAGTTTTCAGTTGTACAACCAAGTTCCTTATTCATACCATGTAAATTAAAGTATACAGAGCAAGTGATCTTCTTTTGCACTGCATGTATGCTTCTGTTCTTCATCCGTAATCCAGTGGTGTGGTGAACCTACCCACTACAGCACAATGTCATATTCTGCAATGTCTTAACTATGAACAATGTCATATCATTGTACTACTCCCTCCGTCCAAAAATACTTGTCATTGAAATGGATGTATCTAGATGTATTTTAGTTCTAGACACATCCATTTTGATGACGAGTAATTCCGGACGGAGTGAGTATTATTTAAACCGTCTCTTTATTTGCCAATCTAAAATGGGATAAATTGACACCACACTAACCATTGATACTTATGAGTTCTTGATCTGTAATCCAGTGGTGTCGCGAAGCTGCCAACTCCTTCTGTCTTGACCTGAACAATACCATATTTTGTTAATGCAATTTTAAACTGTGTCACTTTATTCGTCAGTAAAAAATGTGATGAATTGTCAGCACTGATACTTTTATGTGCAAAACCTGTCATCTGTCTACTTGTTTATCTTTCACAGTGAGGATGATTTAAGTGTTGAACAAGCGCAGTCTCATCATCTTGCTCAGATGCTTGCGCTGCAGCTCCCCGGCAGGGCTAACCTTTCTTGAACTCTATTGAAGTGCTGTCGGTTTTGTATATTATTTTGTCGGCGTGTTTATTTGCACTGTTGGTGATCTTTGATGCCTAGTGTAAGTAATCTGATGTCTTCTTGTGCTTTATTATCATAGTGGCGAACTTTGATGCCCAGTGGATGTAATATGCTGTAATTTCTTTATTGTATAGTCTAGGTTTTTTCTTATTCACGATGCTGCAGTTATTTTACTGTCTTCGCAGTATACCGGCCAAACCGTAAAATTACGGTACATTATCGGGCCGTCATGCAATCATGATGTTGGTTGGGCCTGAAACGTGCCGAACAGCTAACGGGCCGGCAGCAGCCCGAAATGAACCCCGACCCATGATTGTGTGAATCAAATCACGGGCTTTTAACAGGCCAAAATTGTCTCAGTCCTTGTTTGGCCCAAGCAGATATCGGCTGCGAGCAGGCCGGATGCAAACCGGGCGATAGTCAGGCCCAACTATATGACGGTCATTTAACAGGCCGAAATTAATATATGGCCGAAATGTTAAACGGGTCCTTAAGAGGCCAAAACTAATGTCAGGCCAAATTACTGAGTGGGCCTCTAGCAAGTGGGCCCAAAAGCATAGTGTCCAGTTGACGGGCCGAATCTGATATGGGCCATAATTGAGCCCATAGCCTCTTAAAGGGTCGTACCTGATCTGGGCCGTAATTTGGCCTAGAACATGGTAGGATTTTAACGGGCCGGATCTCATATGGGCCACTATTAGGCTCGGAACGTGGCAGGCCATTAATGGACCGGATCAAATATGGGCCAACATTTGGCCCAAAACATGGCAGCCAGTTAATGGGCCGGCCTACTAGGGCCCTCAAATTCTTGTGGGCCTATAGCTAGGCCAGCCGTTAATGTCGGCGAAATCTCGTGGGCCTTTACCGGGCTGGCCCATTATGATCCGCAAGTATCTTGTGGGCCTTTACCTGGGCCAGCCCATTATGGCAAACAAAAATCTTATGGTCCTTTACCTGGGCCGGCCCATTATGGCCCGCGAAATCTTGTGGGCCGTTAGCTTGGCCAGCCCATTATGGCCCGCAAAATCTCGTGTGCCTTTAGCTAGGCCGGCCCATTATGGTCCGCAAAATCTTGTGGGCCTTTATTTGGGCCGGCCCATTTAAAATTGATGGGCCGGTCCACGTGTCAACATATCATAGGCGCGTCTCACCCATTGGATGAGTGACACCTGTGCCAGCGCGGACCTGACACGTGTCTCCTCCAGCCAATGATGATTTTACACATGGAAAATCCCCATTGGTCGGGGCTGTTAACGGGTTATCGGATCCAAAACCTGACCCGATAGCTTAACGGCGTTCCGTTACGGTGTATGCCACGTGTCGGTCACCCTTGACGAAAGCACTTCTGTGACGCGCGATTTATCGTCATGGAAGTGGACACTTCCGTGATGATAATTTTGGTAATGTCATGGAACACTTCTTCGATAACACAAGTATGACTATCTTGATTCTGTCATAAATTTGTCATGGATGTACATGCATGACAAAAAACGCGACCTACTGTGACAAACACGTATCATCACGAAAGTGTATTTTTTTCTAGTGTAGGGTTACACAGAGTCGGTTACAGAGAAGGATATCTACACATCCGAATTGCCAAGCTTGCCTTCCACGCAAAGGACAGTCCCATCCGGACACGAGACGAGTACGAGGAGTTCAAGGTCGACTCCGGGGACTCCAACTTGGAGCTCAGGCATGATGGGGTGTCTGATGAGGATAACAACGATGGGGTTGTCTAGATCAAGCCTTTCATCTCCATCAGGAGGTCCCTCTCCAAAGGTATTTGTCCCATGTCGCGATAACTGCTTTTAATCCATGTGTTAGGGTCAATTTTCGTCCTTGTTTGTTGTAGAACATTTTTTACTACCACAATTTCTCATTTTTAGGTAGGAAACAAAAGTTTAAAACCATGTATAAGCTTGGCCGCAATAGTCATTTTCTATTTTCACGTGCTTTATAGTTATGTTTCCCGGTTTTGTGTGGTTTACACTCGTACTTTTTCAATTTCACATGATTTACACTCCTTTTCTCTGTGTAAATAGAGCGACCACAAACATTTATGTATCGATTCCGAGGTAACAATGTTATTTATGCATCAACCAACCTAGAAAGACCGCACCCAAGTTACATTTCTAGCCCCATTCTTACGTAGGACAAAGGTTGATAAACCATGTGTATCGTTATCTCTTGGATATTCATAAAATTTTGTATTTATGGTTTGCACAATTTTATGATATTTGAGTATAAAAAACTCACGTGTAGATTTTCTAATCAAATTCTATATTTTGATCAAGAGTTTTTGCTTCATTCATGCATCACCTAGTCATATCTTCTCACAAGAAACGAAACCACTCTCAAATTATTTATTCTTGGTGTCAACCAAGACACAAAGTCGTGAAGCAATGTTGCCATGTTACTTTATAAAAATAGTTAATAATATCTATATACATGGTTAGATCATGAGTGCAATATAAAAAAGTTGCAATGCTCATTTAGAATTCATAAAATAAATGTATAATAATGCTAATGATTGCACATACATGGTAGTATCTCAATGGGGTAAGTATATATGTGTGCTTTACTAGGATCATAGAGTTACAAAGTCATTTATAAGGGGATCTTGGTTGAATATTAAGCAATACATAGGGTCCTAGAGCAACGATGTCATGATAGTTTAGAAAAATGTTAGATCTCCATATACATGGTTAAATCAAGGATGCGATGAGAAATTGGCAATGCTAGCTTACACTTTATATCTCCACCATAGGATAATGCTACTGATTGCACATGAAGTAATGCAAGCAACTAAATGGAGTAAGCTTCCGTTTCTTTGAGAAAAATGGAGTGAGTAGCTATAGGTGATTTACAAAAATCCTAATGTTACACATAATCATTTATGAGAAGATATTGGTCAAACTTTTTGTTGGATGTACTACAATCTTGAGCTAATGAATGAAATAACTAGCTATGAGTTATTTGCACAAATCTTAAAATTATATACAATCATTTATGAGAAGATATTAATTGGTTAAAAGTTTGGTTGGATGAACCCGTCCAATAAACTTGGACGGGCGGAGTACGACCATAGTAGTACACTCATAATACAAGTGTGTAGTATAATCCTGAGCTAATAAATGGCGTAAATAGCTATAAGTGATTTTCAAAGATCTTCACATTACACATGATCATTTATGAGAAGATTATTTAGCATTCTGCACAATCATTTAGGAGAAGATTTTTGGTTAAACGTTAGGTTGGATGAACCCGTCCAATAAACCCGGACGGAGAGTGTATGATAGTAGTAGTACAATCACACTATAGGTGCGTAGTAAAATCTTGAGCCAATAAATGAGTAACTAGCCATGAGTTATTTGCAAGAATCTTAAAATTACATCTAATCATTTAGGAGAAGATGTTGGTTAAACATGCATGGGGCAGGGGCGACGACTATGATAACATATTGGTTAAACGTCATAGGTGCAGAGTACGATCCTCACAACCCGCAAGCCACACACAGTTACGAGGAGGGTAGTTCAGGTGGTGTTGTGTCCTGAGAAGAAGAAGCCCCGGCAGGGCGGTGGTCGGAATCGATGCTTCGTGGGGCTCAGCGGGCCTGGGGTCGAGCTCGGCTTCGACACAACGACGAGGACTTCAAGGCCGAGTTTGAGCAATTCGACACCGACTCCGGTTACTTCGACTTGGATCGCGGGCATGGTGCGATATCTACGGAGGATGAAAATGATGAGGTTGACGAGATCAACTCGTTAGCTGCCAAGAGACCCGTCTCAAAAGGTTTTAATCTGCTCGTTTTATAAATTTTTGCGATTAACCACTGTAGAAGCTAAGATATTGTGTGATTGGTTTAGATTCCGTGGTTAGGAAAAGAAATTGTGTGGGGTTGGTGTTGGAAGGCTTGAGTTGTTCGTGTTAGGGCATCTTGAATGTTGAGCCACTAATCAGAACATCCGCGAACGCGTACGGACACGTCCAAAGACCCGGATATGGGAGCTGGTCATCCAACCCTATTCCTCAGATGCCCGCCTCTATTAACTTAAAAAATAGTAATGGCCTTCTATCAAATATCAATGGTGCTCCAACATATACAATGATTTCTATCTTGTGAGAGCTGCAACCCAATTCACTTCTACCAAATAACCATTGAGAGATGCAGCTCTTCTGCCAAATAGCTTGTCAGAGATGCAAATCTTCTGCCAAAGAGAACCTAACAGAAATGAAACTGGTTTCTAAGTTATTTTGACCACTCCTTCCATGAAAAAGCAATGGCCTTTAACCAAATAGCAGTGGCTTTCCTCCAACGCAAACAAAGCGGAGAGAGGTTGTGGCATGAGGTATATGGTGGCTTTTGATTAGCAAGGCAAACACTCGAACTTCTCGAAATCTTCCCTTGCTTTTGCATCTGATT